TCACTCTTTGATGCATTCTGCAAGGAATGAGGCATAGACCATAATTTCTCTGCCCCTAGAACTCCCCAACAAAACGGGGTTGTAGAGCGCAAGAATAGAACATTGGAAGACATGACTAGAACAATGCTGATTTCCAGTGGCCTAGCAAGAAACTTTTGGGCTGAAGCTCTAAATACAGCATGCTATATCATTAATAGAGCCATGATTCATCCACTCCTAGGGAAAACACCCTACGAATTACTCAAGGGGAGGAAGCCCAACATTAGCCATCTAAGAACATTTGGATGCAAATGTTTCGTTCACAATAATGGGAAGGACAATATTGGCAAATTCGATGCACGAAGTGACGAGGCAATCTTCCGTGGATACTCTACTCATAGCAAAGCCTACAAAGTTCTGAACAAACGCACACAATGTGTGGAGGAAAGTATCCATGTAATGTTTGATGAAGCCCTTTCATTCAAACCAAGGCTAGATGATGATGGAGAAATCAGAATCTCTCGCAAGGAAAATCAGCCTCAAGAAAACAATAGAACATATCCTAATCAATCTGAGGAACCACCATTGGATAATGAACAAGCCGAGTCTAGAACTGAAGAAGAACCTGGAAGGTCCACGGCCAGTCAAATCGTAGAACTAGAATCTACAGTTCAAGATACCTTATACGATTTGGTGGACCAACCAAACGCTCCAAGAGGATGGAAGTTTCATCGCTCACACCCCCTGGATAACCTCCTAACAGAACTAAATCAGGGAGTGACAACTAGATCTAAACTTAGAAACTTTTGTGTCTTCTTTGCTTATTTATCACTCATAGAACCGAAGAACCATGAAGTGGCTCTCTCCGATGCTGACTGGGTTCTAGCTATGCAGGAAGAACTAAATCAGTTCGAGAGGAACAAGGTATGACACCTAGAACCGAGACCTAGAGACAAAACCATGATAGGTCTCAAATGGGTATTTAAGAACAAGCTTGACGAACATGGATAAATCACAAGGAACAAGGCAAGACTTGTTGTAAAAGGCTATAACCAACAAGAAGGAATAGATTTCAATGAAAAATTTGCACCAGTGGCAAGATTAGAGGCAATACGAATGCTCATAGCATTTGCAGCTCACATGGGATTCACACTCCATCGAATGGATGTGAAAATGGCCTTCTTAAATGGTTATCTTAAGTAAGAGGTATATGCAGAACAACCACCGGGGGTTTGAAAATCCAGATCTTCCTAATCAGGTTTTTAAATTAGATAAATCACTTTATGGTCTCAAACAAGCAGCTCGTGCTTGGTATGAACGACTGTCTAAAATTCTTTTGGAAAATGATTTTGAAAGAGGAAAAATAGATAAAACTCTTTTTCTAAAAATAATGAATCAAGCCCTTTTGGTCGTTCAAATTTATGTTGATGATATTATATTTGGTGCTACTAATGATTCTCTTTGTGATGAATTTTCTTCTCTTATGAGCTCTGAGTTTGAAATGAGTATGCTGGGAGAACTAAATTTTTTTCCTTGGTCTACAAATCAAACAAACAAGCAAAGGAACTCAAATATCCCAACAAAAGTATCTTAAGGAACTACTCAAGAAGTATGGAGCAAGTGAAAGCAAGACAATGACCACGCCCATGGGGACAAATGACAAGCTAGAGGCAGATGAAAAGGGAACAAGCATAGACCAAAATATATACTGAGGAATGATCGGGTCCCTATATGTAACTGCCAGTAGACCTGACATTGTTTTTAGTGTAGGTCTATGTGCTCGGTTCCAGGCCAATCCCAAGGAGTCATACCTCAAAGCAGTCAAGAGGATCCTCAAATATCTCAAAGGAACTATGAATCTATGCTTATGGTATCCACGTAATGAGGATTTTAATCTTATTGCATATTCAGACTCTGATTTTGCAGGTGATTTACTAAATAGGAAAAGCACATCTGGAACGGCCCACTTCCTAGGTCCTTGTTTGGTTTCATGGAGTTCTAAGAAACAAAATCCAGTTGCTCTCTCAACTGCCGAAGCTGAATATGTAGCAGCCGCATCATGCTACTCTCAATCACTACGGATCATGCAACAAGTAAGCGACTACGGAGTTGTCATGTAATTTTGTTAAAATTACATAAGCAATATTGGTCTCGATTGATAGATCATGAAAAATAAAAAAATTTAATATAAAATTTATAAAAATCGAATATGAAATTAAAAAGTTATTAGAATTTTTAACAACAACAGGAATAAAAAATAATGGGATCTAGTGTTATTTTTTATAGGGAGCTTGCAAAAAATAAAGACCGGTATACGGTGTTCACCGTATACCGGTCATACGGTATAATTTGCCTTCATATGTTTCCAATGGTCTTAAATTCCATAGACGAATACTACCATTAAACATTGTTGTATTAAGGTTGTACACAAAACACTATTGTATGAAGGAAGATAACTCCATACACGCCTAAAACTTTTATTATTTGAATTGAAAAATAAGTTATGTGCTCAAATGAATGGTATGAAACTCAGCAAACCATCTTCAACCACTTTTGAGTAATAAACCTCTTGATTAATTAATATTTATTTTCATTTTAGTATGGTTTAATCATTAGGAAATTGAATATCATACGATTTTCAAGTATAATTCCGTAAAATATACAAACAGTTCCAATTTCCAAAAACACAGACCTTAACATTTTTAAATTTTGTTACATCGTTTTCTAATTTTTGTAATTATCTTTGGTTATATAAAAAACCTAGCTACTATATGCCCCTAGTAGTGGTTCATTTCATAATCAAGCTTCTAAAATCACTTATGGACTTTTGTACCTTCAAAAAAAATCGCTTGCGGAAGTATTATTCACAATTTAATAATACCCGTCCCAAACAACAGTTATCTCATAATATTTTAATCATGATTCTGATCAATATAAAAACATGAAAGTTATAAGTTTATACATTTATGAAAATTATTTTAACAAAGAACATTTTCATATAGCGAATACATAATGGCATCATATTTAAGTACACCTACAAATTGATTATAGTGTTTTTGAGATCCATTATTGCGAATTCTATTGTAAGCAATAATTGACAACTCTATTGGCACCCAGATGAATAAAGGAGAATGTGTATTGCTTGGCATTGTAGATTTTCGGATGCCGCAGATTCTAGATGACAACGTTAATGTTGTGTATAAATTAGATTTCGGTGATATTGAGCACATTAGCGATTTCAAATGACCTTTTGAATTTTTTGATACTCATTTTATAATTATGTATGCTCATTTGGCACTGACATTATTCTCATTTTAAAATGCCATATAAATTCATAATTCAAAAGTATCATTGATGGAGTATATGGCCCACGAACCCCCGACCCACATATCCCCACTAATACAAACAGGTCCAATAGGCCCAGACGGCCCAAATACAGCAGCCAAAGTTTCGGATAGCCCATACTACAGAAGGTGTTGCCTTCGACATTACGCCAGAAGGCTTCATACTCAAAAAACAGTTATACCTGGTCCTGGAACACGACTGGGAAACAGGGCCAAGATCGTCAGCCTTCGACACTTACAGCCTTCAGCACATGCAGCCCTCGGTATGTACCGTCAAAGGCACCACCCCGACAAGATCTCCTCTCTGCACAATCTGAATCACCGCATTAAATGTGGTGTCACGTCCAACCACCGCATTAAATGCGGTGCCATATGCTATGTCGGCGCCACCCCAGCTGAAATGACCCTCCACCGTTCATTTGTTGACACGTGTACCTGCGGTAGATGCATATAGCATTTATGGCTGCTATAAATAGCAGACATTTTTCGCATTGTAACGACGAGTTCATTTATTACACACCCACACTCTCTCTTACTTGTTCTGACTTCTCTCTAGATAACCCTCAGCGGTATCTCCGGGACCCCGGATATACTATCCGTCAATCATGATGCTCAATATTATACTCCTAATACTCAACAGAATAAGTGTAATGCTTAGTAAAAGTTTATGAATGCTCATTTGACAGAAACCATGATTTTCATCTCAATAAAAGAGGTTTGATGCTCAATGAAAATATCGTGACTTCAACTAACAAACTTTACGATTTTTATATTAATGCACATTTTGTAAGTTAGATATGCTCATTTGGTACCGATGTTACGCTCATTTGTAAAATGCTATATCAATGCATATTTTAAAAGTATCATATCACATTAACATCGCATATTGAAATTCTTAGGAATTGTTTATACATATAATTTAATAAGTTTAATAAAAGAAAAAAATGAATTAGAAGATATGAAACGGAGATGGTGATGTTTATACTCCTAATAGTCAATAAAATATGTTGACCTTTATTGGAAACTTGATTTTGGCTTACTATGCTCCCACTCTATGGGATGAACACAAAGATGGTCAAGGTGAGACATAATTGTTTTCAACAGTCGCACTAATTGTTTTCAACTATTTGTGTTCACTATGGGATGAACACAAAGATGGTCAAGGTGAGGCATATAATTTAATAAGTTTAATAAAAGAAAAAAATGAATTAGAAGATATGAAACGGAGATGGTGATGTTTATACTCCTAATACTCAATAAAATATGTTGGCGCTTATTGGAAACTTGATTTTGGCTTACTAAAATATGCCTCACCTTGACCATCTTTGTGTTCATCCCGTAGAGTGTAAAACGTATTTTGGCACAATTATTTATAGTTATACAGAGTAATACAATACAATACTAGTTTTGGCCTAGTGTTATAATGAAGATGGTAAAACGTACGTAGTAGTGTAGTTTATAATTTTGTACTACCTTCATCATATTTTATGTTTCTTGTGTTAGTTTGGCACAATTATTTATAGTTATACAGAGTAATACAATACAGTACTAGTTTTGGCCCAGTGTTTTATCTTTGTGATAGGTATAAGTGGGCTGATTTATCAGCTGTGTAAAGTTTTATCAGGCCAATTGCCCAAAGGCCCAAAATCACAAAAGGCCGAGTAATTCAAACTCGAGGAAGCCGAGCACACGTCTCTGGAGGTGTTGAACTAAACGGTCGAAGTGTCGAACGCGCCCCGCCAAGTCGCCGACTCCATTCGCCGCTTCACCCTCCGGCAGGCACCAGCACGCAGCGCGGCAGCACCGCCACTCCGCCAGGGTCCATAACCGCCGCACGCCTCTTCAGTCGTCGCCTACTCGCCTCACGCCCGTCGCCTGCACTCCGCCACTCTCCATTAGGCGGTTCGGCCAATTGGCCCTTCTCAATTTTCACCTTAAGTAGTTCCGGTATTCCTCCACTCCTTTATTGATTAGTTCATTAATTGATTTGATTCAAAGTTGTTTGGTGAAACCTAAGCAAACTCTGATAGGTAATTACTATTTTCACAGTGTTTTATTTTTTGTAATATTCATCGGATCTACAAAGCTTTTTGATTCATTCACATGCGTCTAGACTTTTGGATCATGTGTAAATTGGAATAAGAATCACCATGCGTAAGAAAGGGATTTTATTCATTGAAATGAGAGTTACAAGATATGCAGAGAAGACTTACCTAAAATATTACAAGAAGTGTATTTATAGAAGAAGATATGTAACCGAATGCTAACAACTAAAACTAACTAACTTCTTCTAGAGTCTTCTAGTGTCTTCTCGTGTATGTGAGTATGCCAAGACCCCCCCTCAAGATGAGAGTACAGATTTTGTACGTTCATCTTGGACAGTAGAGAGTGAAATAGAGCTTTCCCCAAAGGCTTTGTAAATATATCTGCAAGCTGATGTTGACTGGGAACAAATAGAGTGTGTATTTTTCCAGATTGAATCAATTCCCGGATAAAGTGGCAATCTATCTCCACGTGTTTTGTTCTTTCATGATGCACTGGGTTTGCTGCAAGGGATAAAGCAGACTTGCTGTCACAATAGATTGTAGCATTGAATATAGGAATGTTAAAGTCTTGAAACAATTGCATCAAACTGATAACTTCAGCTGCAGAAGTTGCCAATGCCCTATACTCAGCTTCAGCCGAACTTCTGGAAACTGTATGTTGTTTCTTTGACTTCCATGAAATGAGGGAATGTCCTAAAAACATGCAGTAACCTGTAATGGATCTTCTAGTGTCAACACAACTAGCCCAGTCAGAATCTGAAAAACCCTTTAGTTGTAGATCAGAAGATGAAGAATATAAGAGTCCTTGACCTATAGAACCTTTCAAGTAGCGCAGGACTCTATGTGCTGCAGATAAATGTGATTGACCAGGTTTTTGCATGAATTGAGCCAATGTATTAACAGCAAAACTGATATCAGGCCTGGTATGTGTGAGGTATAAAAGCTTTCCAACTAAAGATCTATAGTCAGAAGGATTATCCAAGTAATGATCATCTTGAATGCTTAAACGTAGTTTACTGTCCATGGGAAAAGTAACTGGCTTGCAATCTTGATACCCATATTGAGTTAAAAGATCCATAGTATACTTCCTTTGGCATAGATATAGTCCCTTTGATGAACGAGCTACTTCCAACCCTAGAAAGAACTTGACAGGACCTAGATCTTTTATCTTAAACTGCTCATTCAGAAATTTCTTGATGAGTTTTATTTGCTGCATATCAGAACAAGTAACTAGGATGTCATCCACATATACTAAAAGTATCATGGTAAAATCACCTTTGTGTAAAGTGAACAATGAATAGTCAACATGAGATTGACTGAAACCATATTCCTTTAGAGCAGTAGACAGTTTAGAAAACCATTGTCTACTTGCCTGTTTGAGACCATATAGACTTTTCAGCAGTCTACAAACTTTATTCTTCCCTCTTTGCTCAAAACCTTGAGGAATGGTCATGTACACTTCTTCATGGAGATCTCCATGCAAAAAGGCATTGTGTACATCAAGTTGTTCTAAGAACCAACCTTTTGAAGCAACTAAAGCCAGTAATACTCTCACACTATTGAACTTAGCAACTGGTGAGAAAGTGTCAAGATAATCAAGGCCTTCAACTTGAGTAAAGCCCTTGGCAACAAGCCTGGCTTTATATCTTTCTATGGTACCATTAGCATGGTACTTCACTTTGTATACCCATTTGCATTTAATTGGAGTTTTCCCTGGAGGTAAATCAGTGATTAACCAAGTTCCATTTGCTTCAAGAGCAGATATCTCATCTTTCATTGCTTGTGTCCAGTTTGGGTCAGAAGATGCTTGAGAATAGGATGTAGGTTCAACAATTTGGGAAATTGAAACAGAGAAAGCTTGGTGTGGAAGAGAAAAGTTAGCAAAACTGACATAATTCTGTATAGGGTGTAGTGTCTTACCAGGTTTGTTGATGGGAGAAGATGTGGCATCTGCTGAATGGACTTGACTGGAAGTGCGAACATAATCTTGAAGATGAGAAGGAGGCTTTCTTTGCCTAGGTGGTCTAAGAGATGATGATGTTTGTTGTTGTATTGAATGAAAATCAGTAGGTATGGATGTATTTGTGGAATCATTATCCTCCTGGATAGGATTAGTGAAAGTTACATCATCAGGAGAGGACTGATTGTGTTCAAATGGGAATATGGACTCGTGGAAATTAACATCCCTAGATAGAAATGTCTGGGAGGTATCAAGATCATATAACTTGTATCCTTTGGTGTTAGCAGGATAGCCAAGGAATATGCATCTTCTAGCTCTTGATTGAAATTTATGTTTGTGTCCTATAAGATTGGAAGCAAAGCACAAACAGCCAAACGATCTTAAAGAGGAGTAATCAGGTGGTTGATTATGAAAGATTTCAAAAGGGGATTTGTTATTCAAGACTGAAGAAGGGAGTCTATTTAGGATATGGGCTGCTGTGAGTATACAGTCACCCCAGAAATTTAGAGGTAATTTGGCTTGGAATCTGAGTGCTCTGGCAATATTGAGCAATGTTTGGTGTTTGCGTTCAGCCACCCCATTTTGTTGGGGTGTGTATGGACAAGTTGTTTGATGTATGATCCCTTCAGTGGAATAAAAATCTGGTAAATGGAATTCGGTTCCATTATCAGTTCTTATGGTTTTAATTCTGACAGAATATTGTGTTAAGATCAGTTTGTGGAAGTTTATGAGGAGTTGTTTTGTGTCAGATTTGTGTTTCATTAGACATCACCAAACAACCCTTGAAAAGTCATCTACAATGGTAAGAAAATATTGAAAACCATCATAGGTAGGAACAGAAAATGGACCCCAAACATCACAGTGTATTAGGTCAAACGTCTTGGTAGATTTAATATTGCTTTTAGGAAAAGGTAATCTATGTAATTTTGCTAAAGGACAGATATGACAATCTTTGTTATCAAGAACAGATACATGTAATGCATCCTTTATTGGCTGAAGTTTGAAATCAGAAACATGGCCCAATCTTTGATGCCAGATACTAGAAACTACACTATGAGACAGATGTGAAACATGATCATCAGAAGTATGTTTTGGTGGATGAAGAATATATAGTCCTTTGGTTAATTCAGCAATGCCAATCTTCTCCCTCGAATTTTTGTCCTGCAAGATACACTCATTGGCACAAAAAGAAAGAATTAAAGGTGCTTCAGATATTAGTTTTCCAACAGACAGAAGATTCACATTGAAATTAGGAACATATAAGACATTTGTCAAAGTTATGTTGCGAAACAATTTAACATTTCCAATGTGAGAAACTGGAACCTTGGATCCTGTGGGTAAATGAACAAAGATGTTGGAAACAGGTTTTGAGGAATTAAGAAGAGAAAAATTACTAACCATATGGTCAGTAGCTCCTGTGTCAAGGATCCAAGATGTACAAGTAGAAACAACAATATTAGCACTTATAGAGGTGCAAAAACTCAGATGATTACTTGCGTTGTTGGATTGTTTAGGGGTTAAAGGTGTGAGAGGAGTATTTTGAGAGGTAGTCAGATTCTGGATCAAGCTTAAAAGATGAAGGTACTGGTCTTGAGTCACAACAGAACTAGGTTTATCCACTGAAACTTGGCAAGTATTCTCCAATTGAGCTGCACACGCATTAACCTGACTTGGAAACTTATTGCTCACCATTGGTTGTTTTCCTTTTGGTTTGTATCCCGGAGGATATCCATGAAGTCTATAACATTTGTCCACAGTATGGTTAGTATAACCACAGTGAGTGCAAACAATCTTATTCTCTTTCTTCAGATTGTTATGATAGGGTTTAAAACCCTTGTTGTGTGAGCTGTAATTTGCTGTATGATTAGAATTATTCTGTTCATTCTGATTTCTATTACTCATCATTATCATTGGCTCCAAGTTCAGATTGGTTCCCATGCTCCTCTGCATTTCATCTTGTAAAACAAAGCTGAAAATCTGATTTAATTTTGGAAAAGGCTTAATGACAAGAATCTGTCCCCTTATTCCAGCAAAAACATCATTGAGACTCATCAAGAACTTAATTGACATTTCTCTTTCTTCTCGCTCCAATATAGTTTTCATGAATTCACATTTACAAGTCTTGACAGCTCCACATTTGCAAGTAATCATAGGATTATATTGACCTAATTCTCTCCAAAGCGAATCAAGCTTATTGTAGTAGTCTGTGACGCTGAGATTACCTTGAACTGTTGCGTAGATTTGTTTTTGCAGGTCAAATATCCTTGGAAGGTTGCCCTGCGAGAAACGTTCCTGAAGTGTAGACCACATTTGAGCAGATGTTTCTTCGTACAGAATACATTGCGCCACCTCCTTCGTGCAGGAATTCAGAATCCATGCCTGAATCATAAGGTCACATCGTTGCCAGGCTTCAATAGTGTTCTCGTCTATATCTGATTGCTTCAGTTCACCATTTACAAGTTTTAGCTTGTTCTTTGCGCCTAGCGCAATTCTCATCGATTTACTCCAAGAGTGATAATTGCTTCCATTCAACTGAGGATTGACAAGTACGGTGCTAGGATTGTCTCCAGGCCCGATGTAGAAAGGACTTGAGATGTCTTCAATGGCCGGTCTTTTTGCCATGAAAGAGCTGCTTACTGAATCTTCACTATTTGACATGATTGATTAACGGAGGTAAGCTCTGATACCATCTAGACTTTTGGATCATGTGTAAATTGGAATAAGAATCACCATGCGTAAGAAAGGGAAGAACTGTATTTTATTCATTGAAATGAGAGTTACAAGATATGCAGAGAAGACTTACCTAAAATATTACAAGAAGTGTATTTATAGAAGAAGATATGTAACCGAATGCTAACAACTAAAACTAACTAACTTCTTCTAGAGTCTTCTAGTGTCTTCTCGTGTATGTGAGTATGCCAAGAATGCGTCATTAGATCCATTCAGAAAAACCTGAGATCCCAAAATGGCAGAAAGTATAATGTTTTTATTTTCAGAACACTTGTCACTCTGCAAGTTATAAATCACACTCCAAATATGTTTATTCATTTGCTAGATTTTTAGTTTCCAAAACATATATATAAACTTGCAACCTAGTTTAGATACTGAAGCATCATTTTAAAGCCAAATTGATTTTTTAGATTTTGTTACATACGAAGTATTTATGATAAGATGGAATGATGAATGATTGACAACTATTAGCCGACCCCAAAATCTTTTGGGAATAAGGCTTGGATGTTATTTTTTGTTGTTGTTAAGTAATGATGCATTTTATTGTGTGTAAACATTAATAGAGTAATATTGTTGTTATTTTTTGTTGTTTATTTCTTTCCTACAAAATAATTTGAATTTCAAGAGTTAGTTTTCATAATTTCACCGTTAAGTTGTTTCAAAGTCATTTATAATTTATCATTTATTTATATATCTTGAATGATATATGCTCAATTATATTCAAAGTGGAAAATCTCAACCCCTACAAAGAGGGGAGACGGCCACTAGGGTTCCTCTCTCTAAGAACAGCTTCGTTGAACAATAGAGTTTACTTTTTTTCACCCTTCTTACAAAACAAAATATATTGTCATGAAATGTACTGGAGTATGGCATTGTTTATTCTCAAATGCCTTACCAGCACATAAGGCATAGTTTTTTCAATAGCAAATCATTACTTTATTTTGTTAAGAAATATGTTATGCATATAGTAAATACATATCAATCTATTTATTTGGCCAAAAGTCCAAATCATTTTGGACGGTGAGGTAGTTCCTTGAACATATTAGTAAATATTGAAAAACTATTAAAGTATTAAACACATACTGTATGAACTTGATAGGATGATTGCAAAATGTACAATAGATGTTCCTTGAAAATCATCTCTTAGTTTGCTAGACTTCTTAGTATCTCGTAGCGTGTAGTGATTTAAAAATAATATTTTCTTAACCTGAAAAAATAATGATGAATTCACAATCATATCCTCTAAGAAATGCTTCTTCTCTATCAGTTCCTCTGAAATACTTCGTGGAGATGCAGACAGTTCATAGTGCGTATGGAGTTGTGATCAATTAGTAATTTCTTCTTGTTTTGGGATTGGTGTTAAAGAGAAGATGGGTAGTGTTCTGAGCAAGGCTGCTGATGGCTTCGGAAATGCCCTCGCCACTCCCTTCAAGGCTATGCTCGAAGGATCCTGCGAGTATGACTTTTTTATCCTCCAGTAATAAAATTTTTATGCGCTGAATTCCGCTTTGAATATAATTGAGTATAATATTAAATTATGTTTCTCCTGTTTCGGATCTTTCAGAGATGTTTGCAGCGGAGTTTGGGATGTGTCGTGTTTCATCACTCACCTTTGTGTCTCGGATTTGATCAAGTTATTTATGATTCTGGTGCTTTGCTACATAAGTAATTCCCAGCCTATATATCAGCCTTATATTTTGTGCAGTTTCACTTTTATTTTAGTTTATAAATATACACTTCCTCATTTCTTTAAAGTTGCATCACTTTTACTTTTACTAACTACATTTTATTTAGTAATGTATTTAAACATATTGTGTCAGCATAGTTCCAATTTACTATTCATTAATCAACTGTTTACTTTTGGTCTATAATTTTATTTTTATGTATCCTATTTGTATTGTATTCAAACTCATGAGTAGAATATTATATTTTTTATGTATCCTATATTCCTATGTCATGAATGGGACATAGGATCAACTAGAATATTACAATTGAGTAGTTCAAACTTAAACAAATGATCAAATAATGATTTCGACCAACTCAAATGCATTATGAATACAACTTCCATACTTATTTATGTAGTACTGTAGCATTCACCAATTAGTCATATTAGTTTTTATAATTTTATGAATAATCAATTAAATAAAATATATTAATAGTCAAAGTCTATAGTGAAAAGTGTGAAATCCAGAATAATTACATGGAAGTACTAGCATATTTTATAGAGAATTAAGGTTCTAATATATCCCATTTGAGTGAAACTAATAGTTCTCCTTGGGCAGCTTTACTGTTTTTCTACATGTTCTTCAAACTGGGGATATGCCAATGCGTAGGAAAAACTATATGCGGAATGTATTGCTCAGCGTGTAAGGCTTATTGGTCATCAATTGGGTGTTTAATGTGTTTCCTCTGGCATAAACTTATCAATGTTCAGTGTGTGGATCGTCACCACCGCGGACGACGGCGCTTCATTGATGTTGAATCTGGATATAATTCCTTCAGTCTCGGCGATGACTGTTCATTTGTTGATGGAGGCAATGTATGGGTGTCTAGAAAGAGAAAGATGATGATCAAGAGGATGGGGGAACATAGACTTCACAGTCAGCATCATTCTCGATATCACAGTCACTGCCGCCGCCATCTCCGCCGCCATCGCCGCCGCCACTGCCAGAGTCGTCGTCATCATCATCATCATCAGGGTAGTATGTATACAAGAGAAGTTGGTCTTCGAGTTAGGGGTAGGCCTCTTAGACTGGAAAAGTTGAGACATCATTCACCGAGAAAGGACGTTGTTGTTGTTGGCCCCAAGATGACATCCTTCAAACGAAGACGAATGGCTGTCCAATGACTTTTCGTCTTTAGTATACACGGACTATATAATTACGGAGTATATAATTTAGATCAAATGAGAATGTTTTACTTGATTTATTTTGTATATCTTGATTTTGGAATCTACTAGAAAGGAATTTAAGAACATAAACATAATTTTAGAAGTCATTCTGCATTTAAATGGTTATTACATTTTCAAATAAAAAAAGAAGTGAACAATAAACAAGTTTAAACACAAATTGCGTAATATGGAAGAATACCAACGGGAAAAGGATAAAGAAAAAGAAGAGAAAAGAAAAGGGGAAAAGACAAATGTGACTTGGGCTGCCATGTGTGCGCCGCCGTTAGGACAAGAGTTCGCTATGTCAGCAAATTACTTGCTAGTTGGAGGGTTACCTGTAAATGTTGGATTTGACGAAATTTAAATACTTTGAAGACACTTTGAAGATGTAATTGATTTAACATTAAAACATGGGAGCTTAATTGATTTTCTGTATATAATAATATGAAGAATTACACTCTTTTGATTAAGAAACACTAAATAATGGATAACCCCGTCATTCTGTGTATGGTCTACAATATTCTAGGACATGCATTTTAATTTTTAGAGTGAGTATGGAGGACTTTGGTTCTCTAGGTACGCAAGCTCAAAGACATGCTTAGTATAGACTCGAGAGATTCGGGTTAGGCAGAAATGGCATATCCAGTGCACAACAGAGAGTATGTTCCTTTCTGAGTTGGTTACTTTTGGAGTCGGGTGTCACTGTGGCTGAAGTCGGATGCCACTGTGGCTAGAGTCGGGTGTCCCAATGGTGGTGTCACCGGTGGCAGTAGGTATGGACTCAAGCTGGCCTGGTCTCGGGAACGTCGGTCCCAGTTCTGAAATAGTAAAGCCCGATACCGACCTAGTTTGGTCTGATAATGGTTTTGGTCTGGGTACCCAGACGGGTCACGGGTCAGGTCGGACCCAGGTCGAGTCACGGGTAGCCCACCTTCTATTTAAAAAAATAAAAAAATGGCCGTTGGGATTGGAACTGGGCCCGTGATCAGTCGGTCCGGTCCCAAATATTAAAGCTCGAGACTATCACGCTAATAAGCTGGTCCAGTTATCGGGTCGGTACCAGTAACGCAAAACCGGTCACGGGTCAGTATCGCAAAACAGCCGGTCCCGAGTCAGTACTGCAAAACCGGTCCTGGGTAAGTACTGAGTTGGGCTGGTCGGACTTAGACTAAGACTAATGGTCTGTTTGGATTGAGTGTTAGGGAGTGTTAGTAATAGAAGTGTTAGTAAGTGTTTAGTAAGGGCCCAGAAGGGAAGGGAAGTGTAAGTGTTAGACATAATTTGACTGTGTCATGGGCATGAAAAATTTGACAATGAAAATTTGTGACATGGAAAACATACAGTGACATAATTTTTTGCAGTGACATGTTTTTTCAAATATGTGACCTGATTAGGAACATTTTGATCAATATTAAAAGTAATCACATTTTTGGAAAATGACTTCAATTTAGTGATATTCATGAGAAAATCCCTTAATAATTGAAATTAGCCGAATTAATTAAATATGCAAAATTGATGAAATACTATTTGAAGCGGCTGAATTGGTTGAATATGTTAAATTATGAAAAAATTGTATTCAAAATATGTTTTATTAATAAAATAAAGAAAATATTGTATGAAAAAACAGTTAAAATGATTCTCTACAATAATTAACTTCAACAAGAAAAGTAATTCCAATCACACTTATTTTAATTTTTTGTACACCTTATTTATTTTAATTATTATGCAACTCAGCGCGCGAAAATTAGTTGTATAGCAAAAATGATGATATGTAAGACTGATGAACTGATAAGGGGGGTCATCAACCTGATTCTTAGTGATTGTGATTTTATCAGATTTTACATTGATCATAATAACCATATTGATTTAGCCAAAATAACTTCTAAAATCACATTTTATCCATACATTTTATTTGAATAATATTTTGAAAAACCTTTGTATTCTAAAAGTAAGCAGACGTAAATTTCAAGCTTCTCATTGTTAGAAGCTCTTAATTTCTTTAATAGTTTTCCCCAACATCAATATGAGACTTCATCCAAGAGCCCGTTTAGTAACATCTGGTATAATTTTGCAACTTATCAGCCTTTAGTTAGACTTTATATCATGAATTTTCTTTTCTGACTAAATTTCTTGAAAATGACTATTTTATACTCCGTAATTTATTCATATTAGTTTGTATTTTATATTAAAAATAAATTTTGAATATAATCACTACATGTACTGATGTACATATATACGAAGTATAATATTTAGAAAATATTGCCGCACTTTTATCCAATTTAACGCATTATACGTATATTTAGCGTCATTAAATCATAAGTGTTGTATCATACTCCATAGAGAAAAAGGTCAGGGTCTCGAACTTACAAAAAAATGTCAAACAAAGTCTTATATAAAAGATTCTATCTGGCCGACACCATTTAGGGATGTTCCTGGTGGCATTTTTCGATTAAATTTTGTGAGCATGTTATTCATTAGGTCTAGTTTACTCATACCAAATTTCAGCTAAAACTTCAATCGGTAAGGCATTCAAATAAATTCTTGAAGATAACTGCGCACTTATCTTCAAGAATTTATTTGAATGTCTTCCCGATTGAAGTTGTAGCTGAAAACTGGTATGACTAAACTAGACTTAATGAATAAGATGCTCAAAAAGTTTCATTGAAAAATTACACCGGGAACCGGCCCAAATGTCGTCGGCCGGATAGAACCTCCTATATAGAACCTTATTTGACATTTTTTGGAAGTTCGAGGTCCTATCTGACCCTTTTCCCTACTCCATATCTATTTTGGATCTATTTTGGTGGCACTTTTTTATTTGAGCACCTATATTCTGAATAAATTTTTAAATTAGTAGAAACTTTGACAATTACATGTCAAAACTAAATAAGATGGTAGCTGTGAGCGATTTTAGATGATGAAAATTAAATCACCTCATAGCAGGAAAGAAAACACTTATGCATTTGTTATCTATAGGATCACGAAACATAGTAAAAAAACAATAAAATCTTCATGAAGGATCTGTACGAATATTTTTATTTGTCCAAATACGCAAATCTTATGTCAAAATATAATACAACTTGCATATTTACCAATGACAAACTTCTGAGCACCTCTATTCGATCATGCTCATAACTTGATTTTTTTGTCCCAACTTCTATGTCATTATCACAAAAAAAAAAATCTTAAATAATCTTACAACTAAAAAGTGTCCCTCAACGATACTCAAAATACCTATTCAAAAAAACGGTACTAAGTTTTTTAGACATGCAATTACTTTTAAAGAGATAAATCTATCATAATAGGAGTAAAACATGATTAAGTGGAAAAAATAAGAGTTGTTCAAAATTCATTAAAGAACATGGCCACTCAACAATAACATTTCCCAAAGTGGAAATGTCCGGTGCATTCTTCTTAAGTGCATTTCACTTATGTATCCTCCTAATTTATTTTTTCATTTATAACTTTCACTTTTTCACTTTAAATTTTTTATTTCAAAAATAACCTAAAACAAAGCTCAACCCCCACCGAGAGTAATGATCGATGATTGCTGACAGCCTTCCTCCTTTCCTCCTTCATCATCTCATCTCTCGTTTCACCGCCTCACCCTCTCATTCTCTCTGGCCCCCGCTTCCCTCACATCATGTCTCTCCGAAAGCTTAAAATCCTAACTTGCCTCAACTGCTTCCAGTTTCTGATCACATCTAAGTGGTGGAGTACGGTCCAACGCTTTCAAGTGATGGCCTTATGCCGAGAGGCGATTCGAGCGCTTTAATAGAAAAATCATAGACGTGCGCGGCTATTCCTCTCTCGCCCTACGCCGGCGGCACTTTGCAGCCTCTCCGGCTTTGCGGCTCCGCCCTTCATCCTCCGCCCCTGCTTGGTCGACTGCTTCGGTATGTATTTAGTCAGTATATCTTTAATATGAATTGGATTTAATTCTTTTTCATAGGTTTATATGTGCGATGATCT